GAGAGACAGCCCTTGCACTTGGGGAGCCCCAGGCCTGAGAGAGATGTCCAGAGTATAAGAAAAAAGACACACAGGCAAACACTGTAATAATTTACCTTACATAGTAAGCAGTTACTGCTTTTTCATTCATTCAGAGGCTCACACTTTCACAATAGTCATTCACATTTGATGAGAAGTTGCCCTAAAAGCACTGAGAATACAAGTACAAATTCAAAGGCAGTCCCCGCTGTGAGGAGGAGCTCACATGCCAAGGCAGTGAGTGGTGGTCAGGAAAGGGCATCTTTATTTGGAAAGTTACAGGAATGGTGATAGCCTGGATTAGTGAGATGGTCAGGGAGAAAAGAGTTCTGGCTGGAATCAGTCCTAGATGTAGTGGGAGCCTGAGAAAACCACCAGTCTACATGCCCTGCTCTGCATGCACAAGTAATCCCATTCCGGCTTGTCTCCTTGAGTTGATTGCCCTGCCTGTCATCTCCACTTTCTCATTTATATTCATCTTCTCTTCCTTTACTGGTTGCTTCCCTATTGCTTACAAACATGACAATATTGCCTCCATCCTCAAAAAAACCTTCATTTGATCCATCCATCCTCAAAGGCTGTCACTCCATGTCTCTCCTCCCTTTTGTGGCTAAACTCCTTGAAAAGGACATCTATAGAATAGATGTCTCTACTACTTTTCTTCTCATTCTCTTCCTAACTCTTTACAGTCTGGCTTTTGACTCGACCATTCAACCAAAACTGCTCTTGCCTAAGTTACTAACGGTCTCTTAGTTGCCAAGTCTAAGAGTCTTTTCTCAGTCCTTAACCTTGTTGACTTCTCTGCAGCCTTTGGTTCTGTCCGTTACCCTCTTTCTTCCCTTTAGGTTTTTGTGACACTATCTTTCCTGGTTTTCTTACCAATCAGACTGCTCCTTCTCAGACTCTTCTGCCAGATCTTTATCCAGGTCACATCCACTGTGGGGGTTCCACAGGGTTTTGCCTTGGGCCCTCTTCTCTTCTCCCTCCGTACTGTTTCATTTGGTGACGTTATCAGCTACCATGAATTCAATGATCATCTATGCTGATGATTCTCAAATCTCCTTATCTGACTGTAACCTCTCTTGCTGATCTCCAGTTTTGAATCTCCAGCTGCTTTTTGATCATCTTGAACTGTAGGCACCTTGAACTCACCACGTCCAAAACTCAGTTCGTTATCTTTCTCTCCAAACCTTCCCTGCCCCCTGACTGTCCAGGGTCCTGCTATCCTCATTCACCCAGGCTTGAAACCTACATGTCATCTTTGGACTCACCATTCTCTCTCACTAGCCCCCCCCATCCAATCTTTTTTTTTTTTTTAGGCAATTGGGGTTAAGTGACTTGCCCACGGTCACACAGCTAGTAAGTGTCAAGTGTCTGGTCTGAGGCCGGATTTGAACTCAGGTCCTCCTGACTTCAGGGACGGTGCTCTGTCCAACGAGTCACCTAGCTGCCCCCCATCCAATCTTTTGTCAAGTGCTGTTGATTTTACCTTAATAACATTTCCCAAATATACCCCCTTCTCTCCTGACTTCAACACCACTAATATAGACTCATCACCTCATGCCTGGACTCTTGCCTTAGCCTGCTGGCTGGTCTCCCTGCCTCAGTTTATCCTCCACTCACCTTCCAAAGTGATCTTCCTGAGTGAAGTCTGACCAGGAGCCCCTCCCACTCCCATCAAAGGCCTCCCTATTCAATAAACTCCAGTGGCTCTCTGTCACCTCCAGGATCAAAATATAAAATCCTGTTTGGTGTTGAAAGTCCTTCATGATCAGCCCAGCCCCGAACCAACCTTTCCAGTCTTCTTAACCTGCCCCCCCCCCCCCCCAGCACATACACTATGATCTAGTGACACTGGATCTTTACTGTTCCTCAAACAGAACACTGGGCATTTTCATTTGCTATCTTCTATGCCTGCAATGCTTTCCCCCCAATCTCTGCCTCCTGGTTCCCTTCAATCTCCAGCTAAAATCCCATCTTCGACAGGAAGCCTTTTCTGATCCCCTTTAATTCTAGTGCCTTCCCTCTGTTGGTGGTTTCCAGTATCTTATTTGCACATTAGTAGTTTCCATGTTATCTCCTCCATTAGACCATAAGCTCCATCAGAACAGGGACTGTTCTGTGCCTTTCCTTGAATACCCAGCACTTAGCACAGTGCCTGGCCACTTAGTCGTTACTGGCATGACATGGCTAATTCTTCCAGGGATTGGTTTCTGGTCTGTTTCAGTTTGAGATGGGAGGACACTGTGTCGGGAATCCATTACCAATCTCTAGGAATGAGGGTTAGGTGTTAGGGCATGAGACGGTGACAGAGATGACCTCTCAGTTCCCCAAGCACTCATTTCTGAGCTGGAGGGACATCCTGTCAAGGTGCCCCTGTTGGGGGGGATTTCTGCTGTCTCCCCCTCAGACTGGTGTGTTTCTGACAACAGTGGATGTCTCCCTCTTAAGCACTAAGAGCAGACCTACCTACTTTACTCAGACCTAGCTCACCTACTAGTGGGGGCTTCCTCTGGGCCAGGGTATGGTCTCCCACTCAGAATGGAGACTCTTTATTTTTAGCCTTTTGGGAAACTCAGAAGGAGCAGCCATTAGCTTGGGAAATTAGCTCGAGTTTTCTTCATCTTACCCTGAGGTGCTCGTTGGTGTTTTTGAGACCTAAACTGTCACGGATGATTATGGCCAATGGGAATTTTACTTCCCCCTTTGGTCACAGGCCTGGGGGGAGGGGAGAAAGTGACTTTTGACCACTCTAGGAGAAGTGAGTAGGGGAATGTCTCTCCTACTTTCCCATAGACCAGGAGTTCATGAATAACACTTGGTCATTCAATCTGACTCCCTCATTTTTAGGAGAAGTGGTCTTGCCTGTGGGCACATGCTCACCGGAATGGCCCAGACCAGCTCTGGGTCTCCCATATTCTGTCTAGCCCAAGGCTCTCCCCAGCCAGCCAAAGGTTCCTAGTCCCATTCCTTTGGAAGTACCTCATGATACATATGCTGCCTTGTATATCAAAGTGGTGGCTACAGCTCCTTACTTTACTATGATTAGTCATCACTGAAAGTAGAATGGTTGGGCTTGGCCCCCAAGAAGAGATATGAGAACACACCTACCCTGCATTCTTTGCTGAGGTGGGGAAGCATGGGTGTGGAGTGCTGCATGTAACTGCAGACTTCTGGGGTAATATTGGTTAGTTTTGCTGAGCTATTTGATTTATTCTCAATTTTAATTCTTTATTATAAAGGATGGCTCTCCAGGCAGAGGTGGTTGTGGGAATACATTGGGAAATGTATGTAATGTAAAAACAAAAGATATCAATAACATTTGGTTTAAGAAAAAAAACAAAACTCCCACTAATGATAAGCCTTCCCTTTTCTTTGGGGCTCTGTGAAGCTTCCACAGCTTATAGTACATTCACACCCACCTTGTGGTAGTTTCTGATGCTGAGTTTATATCCTAACTGACTCTCCCTCTGGGCCTCAGTTTCCTCATCTTTGGGCAATTTGGACTTTACTCCTGGCCCTTCTGCCAATCCTGGGTTAGGCTGGGCTCGGGTAAAGAGAAGGAGGAAGGTAGCTATTCCGGTCTGAAGTCCCAGTGAAGGCCCAGCTCTACTCCAGACCAATCCACCCGACCGTTTCCTCTCCTCCCAACTGGTCTTTTCTGACACAACCCCCTAATCCTATCAACTCCCACAGGCTTCTAACCCCCTGACCTCCCCTCCATCTTTCATGGGCTAGACTTCTCTACCTTAGAAATCTCAGACTCTCCTCATCCAAACACTTCCCCTTTTTCTAACTTGTTTCCATCAAGGGCACCATTTTCCGTCCTGTTAACTGTGTTTGAGACCTCGGAGCTGTCTTTGACGGTTCATTCTCCTTAACCCCCCACATCCATCAGTGGTCAGATTTTGTCCATTTCCCTCCTTCACCGGTCCATGGCCCTAGCTGAGACTCTCAGTGCCTCTCACCTGGACTTTTTCAATCACTTCCTTATCAATCTCCCCACCTCCAATCTCTCCCTGCCCCAAACATCATGCCCAAGGCTGCCCAGGCCCCCTTCCCCAGGAGCAGATTGGGCCATGTCACTGCCCTTCCTCAGGGCTTTCAGGGGCTCTGCCTGTGTGCCAGGAAAACCGCATTAGTACCTCTGTGGAGGAAGGATTAAAACGGGGAGAAATCTGAGGAGAGGAGGCCCAAATAGGACACTGCCGCAATAGTCCTTCCTCACCTCTGTCCCATGGAATCTGTAGCTTCCTTCCGAATTCTGTTGAGGCCCAATGGGAGGGTTCTCCCGATCCAGAGAGTCGGTCTTCCCACCCCCACCCCCAGTTGGTTTGTATTTAAGCCGCGTAGATTTTGTCTCCGTGTACCCGTGCTTCCAGCCCCCTCCTCCCCCCAACGTTGGAACACTAGCTCCTTGTGGACAGGGACTTGGGGGTGTTTGTTTGAACCCCTCGGGCCCAGTGCAGTGCCATGTACATAGCGCTTGCTGAATTCGTAGAGGGGATCGAGAGGTGGAGGGCCTCAGGGGCATCTAGTCCAATCCTCTCATTTTACAGGTGAGGAAACTGAGGCCCAGGGAAGGAAGGAAACAAGGATTTATTAAGTGCTCACTGTGTGCCAGGCATCATGCTGAGCGCTTTACAGATATTATCTCATCGGATCCCCACAATAACACTTTGTGGTAGATGCTATTATTGTCCGTATGTTACAGTTGAGGAAACTGAGACAGACAGCAGTTAAGTGACTTGCCCAGGGTCACACCCCTCATAGGTGTCTGAGGCCACATTTGTACTCAGGCCTGGTGCTTTATGGACTGCGCCTCCTAGGGCCAGTGACTTACCCACGTCCACACAGCTAATAAGCATCAGAGACAGGATTTGAACCCTGGTTCTCTTCTTCTGACTCTATCTTAAATGTGGAGACGCTCTTTCTTTTAAGGCGCCTCCCAGCTCTGACTCTCACTCAGCAGAAGCAGCAGCTCCACAGACAGATGAGCTCTTTATTGGTCAGATCCTTTGGGTGACCAGTGTGAACCCCCCCACTCCATCCCCACCCGAGAGAAGAGCCGGCTGATGTGAGTGAGCCCGGCGTGACCCAGCGGAGAGCAGACCTGCCCTTACCCAACCCCTTCCCTCTAGCTTGGGGAAGGCCGGGGGAGCCCGTTTCCAGGGCCCTCTGGCTGGCAGGCAGGTTCCCTTTGTCCAGTCGGCAGACCCAAGGGAGGCACGGGCTCGCCCCGTGGCGGGGGGTCAGGATGGGGGATAGCCTCCCCACTTCTTACACTGGCCTCACAGGGACCAGGGACCCCACTCTCTAGCCTTGGGAGCTGGCAAGATTGAGAGCCTCGTATTTGACCAGGCGCTTTCAAAGCTGGGCCCCCAGATTTTGGGCACTGGCAGAGTCCTCAGCCCTGAGCCATTTCCACAGGCGGTAAGACACACAGGTCACAAGGATCAGCCCCAGCATGCAGCCGCCCGTCCATAGGGCTGCTGAGTTGTCTGAGTTGTCCACATCAGGCACTGAGAAAGGAAATGGGGTTCCGTGAGTGACGGGCCCCTCAGCCTCTCCCCGTCACTGTCACACCTGAGCTTCGGTTCCCCACCGAGCCCCCCGGGCCCGGCCCCGCCATCCCTCAGGGACTCACAGATGGGCTTGTCCAGGTAATAGCTATCTCTCTGGCCCCCAGGTTCGAGTTGGCACGTGTAGGAGCCCCTGTTCCAGGGCCCGGGATGCATCAGGATTAGGGTGGCTTGGGCCCCAGCCTCCTGTCTCTGGTAGTCTGCCAGCCTGCCTGGGGCCTGAATCCAGTGCACTGATGCTCCAGGTTCACAGTCTGCCTGGCATGTTAGCTCCAGGGCCCCCTCATTGATGCCTGGCACCCGGGACGGGAATATTTTGGGGAGGCAAGGAGAGCCAGAGCTGGGTTTTGAGGTAGGGGATAGTGAAGACCCAGGGCCCAAAGAGAGGGAGGAGACTGTGGTGTCAGGGATGCTGGAACTGTGACCCGTCACTGTAGACACCTCTGAGGAGGGCAGAGCCAGCCCCACGGTGGTCTGTGTTGGCAGAGCGGTGCTTGGTTCTGGGGATGATGGCATCCTGGAAATGACTGGGAAAAGAAACAGGGGGTTTACTGCTTTAGGGAAGAAGGCTTCTCTTCAGCACCACCTCCCCCAGTCCTAATGAGTGGCTACTTCCTCCCCATGCCCCCACTCAGAGAAATGGGGCATGGGTCTCCTTGAAGGAAGGAAGGAAGAGAGCCTTTTCCAGAGGAAGGAAGGAGACGTTATCCTGCCCTCAGGGTCTCAAAGCAGGTCAGGCAAATATTGTTAGAAGTGGAAACTGAAGAATTTGGGGGGAGAATGGACATTTAGGGAAATGATTCCAGGTGGGCCTGGGGGAGGGGGTCGAGTAGGGCCTGGGCTGGTTGGGGGGTGAGTGGAGGACTCACCAGCGACGGCCCGGCTGTGGGTGATAACCTGCTGCTCCAGCTTCATCTCTACCAGGCAGCGAAGCTCGGGTCCCGGCGTCACCAGCTCTTCTGGCAGGGCCCAGCGTTCGGTGACCCAGTACACCTCCTCCCCAGTCTCTGCTTCCTGCTCGGGCCCCATGTCCCTGTCCAAGGACTGTAGACCCCCCAGCTTCTCATTGCCCCGGTACCAGGTGAAGGTCAGACGGTCAAAAGGGAAGACCTCTCGGGCCGAGCAGACCAGCGTAGCCCCTTCCCCAGGGGCCAGGGTGCTTGGGGACACTTCCACTTTGTCGGGAAAGGCTGAAAGAGTCAGTGAGGTTGATGAGGAATGGTCCTGGATTCTCTCTCTGCCCCTTACCACTCTTTTTTTTTTTTTTCCTGGGGGGTGGGTGGATAGGGAGGCAGTTGGGGTTAAGTGACTTGCCCAGGGTCACACAGCTAGTAAGTGTCTGAGTGCAGATTCGAACTCGGGTCCTCCAGACTCCAGGGCCGGAGCTCTGTGCATTATGGTGCCACCTAGCCACCCTTGCGACTCTTTTTAATCTCTGTTTTTCTGTCTGTTTCTCTTTGGCTTCTTTTCTCTCAACCTCTGCCTGTCCCATAAAACATGGAATGTCAGAGTTGGAAAGGACATAATGAATCAACTAGCCTTAACCTTCTCATTTTACAAATATGGAAACTGAGGCACCTTAAAGGGAAGGGACCAGCCCCAAGCTCTGCCCTAACGCAGTGAGTTGGGATAAGAGCCAAGTCTCTTGTCTATCTGCAATGAACTGCTCAGCCTGGGTCATCAGCAATAATTAATTAACTCTTATGTTCATGCAGCACTTCCTCATTCCTGATCTGATCCAATCCTCCCAACAACTTTATTAGGTCAGAGGCTGGATTACCCTTCCCATTTCATAGAAGGGAAAGCTGAGGCGCAGAGAGGAGGGGGTCTGGCCCAGGGTCAACGCTGGGTAACTAGGGCAGAGCTGGGACCCCGCCGGCTGGTGGGATTTCCCGTTGTTTCCTACATCTGGTCGAGAGCAGTGCCCTGCCAGAGTCCCTCTTGCCTGCTCAGGATTCTGGCCAGGATGGGACTTACCGTATACTGTCAGCTCTACTCTGTTCTGGTAGGTGCTGCCTTGGCACGTGCTGGTACACACCTTGCTCCCGGCCATAGAGAGTGTGGCCTCGGGGATGGTGAGGACGCTGAGACCTGGCCCTGAGGAGACGTGACCCAGGCTGGTGTCCAGCCCCTTCCACTGCACCGTGGCTTCCTTCTGAGGGCACACGAGAGAGCATCGGAGCTGAATGGAACCTCCAGCTTGGACCACCGGCTGCTTCGGCTCGACTCGCAAAGGGCTCTCTCCTTCCCTAGGCTCCCCTAAGGAGAACAGGTAGAAGGGGAGGGCTTCTGGGGTGGGGTGGGGGCAGGGAAGGGAGTCCTTTTGGTCCGGGACAGGGGTTTAATGAGATCACCTTTCAAGGCTGAAAGCTGCCCTTGGGCTCAGGGCTGAACATCATAAGGTCATAAATTGGATTTAGAGCCAAAAGGGACTGGAGACATTCTAGTCCAACAACCTCATTTTCTAGATGTGCAAATTGAAGCCCACAGAAGAAAAGTGATTTTTACTAGGTCAAGAGTCAAGATTCAACCCCAAGACTGATGTCAAATTGCTTTTACTACACACACACACACACACACACACACACACACACACACATATCCCTTCCCAGGGACGGCAAGGCAGAGCGGATGCTTACTAGCCATGGGACCTTGCAAAAATCACTTCTCCCTAAGCCTCAGTTTCCTCATCTGTAAAATGAGGGAGTTGGTTGAAATGGCCTTAGCTCCCATTCAGCTGTGGTCCTATGGTTGGGTTGTTAGTTTGGCTGCCTCCCTCATTCCCATCACTCCTCCTTCCGCCATCATTTGGTGGGATCAGAGATCCTGAGCTGTGCCCCAACTCTACAACCCCAGGGCTCTCAGACACTAAATTCATGGAACTGTCTCACAGAATTCTGTAACTTCAAGGGGCCTTAGAACATGGAATGTCAGAGCTAGAAAGAATGTTTGAAGATGGAAGATCAGAGCTGGGCTGTTTGGGAACATAGTCTATAAGAACTGGAAGGGACCTTAGAACACAGAGTATGGAATGTATGGGCTGGCAGAAACCTTGGAGATAAATGTGCGAATGAACGAACAAACGAAAATGTCCTGTGAGCTGGAGTTACAAATACAAGAGAGATGTGTGTGTGTGTGTGTGTGGTATGAGAGCTCCTTGAGGCAGTAAGGCCAGTGGAAGGGTTGGGAAGCTTGCTCTGCTCTGGGGCCAGCTAGTTAGAGTGGGTAAGTTTGCACTCAGTACCAATCAAGATATCTAAGCCCTGATTTTTCAGATAGGGAAACCGAGACCCAGAGAGGGGGAGTGACTTGGGATCATAGGATCAAGAACTTGCCAGGGCCTTAGAGATCAGTCCAGTCTAACCCTCTCATTTCACAGACGAGGAAGCCAAGTATAGGAGAGGTTAAGTAATGGGGCTGAGGTCAGGAAGTAGCAGGGTTGGGGTTTGAGCTCGGGTCTCCTGCCTGCCTCCTTTCCCCTATTCCGTGGTGACTTGCCGAGGGCCACGAGGCCATTCAGAGATAAAGGCAGTACTAGAACCCTGAGGACACCGTCACTCTCCGCTTTACTCAGAGGCCCTGTTTGACAGGGCAGGAGACAGGGAACTTACCCCAACTACCCTGGCCTTGGAGGAGGAAGAGGTAGCTTCGGTGGGTGAGGAAAAGAAGGTAGAGGGGGAGAGCGAGAGCTGCTTTCTTCATAGCTCTCTCCCTCTGATGCAGCCACCCCACAGCAGCCGGGGCTCTTCTTTCCTTTCTCTTTCTGAGCCCCTTCTGGAGACCCCGCTTAAGTAGTCAGTCTGGCCCCGCCTCCTCCTTCTTCATTAGGCCCTGGGGGGTTTCCAGTGGTGGGGATTTCTCTCTGCCCAAGGTGCGACTCTCCTGAGTCCTGGGGAAATAAGATGGGTCATGGAGGGAGCTGATGATGTGCTAAGTCAGGGAAGGGACTGATGAGGTCTCTTGCCCTGGAATGGCCTGTCTACAGTGGGGTTGGGAGGGTGCAGGGAGCATCCCTGGGGAGCCTGGGGCGGGGGGGAAGCCTGGGCTCTTAGAGATACCAGGTTGAGAAGATACAGCTTGCTCCAAAGAGAAGTCTCCTGAGCCCCCTCATGGTGGTGGAGTTGGGGGGGGGGGTCTTTCCAGCAGTGGTGAAGAATTCCCCATAGCTGTACATACTCTGTGCCCATGTAAAGATGATACCAGGGGCAGGGCCCCTCCCCAGGCTAGGTAAGAGGGTCTCAGAGCATTCCTTTCCACTCCTGAAGATCCTTCCTCTCCTCCTTTTCATCACGGGCTATGGAGCAGCATTGGGTGCAGTGGGAAAAGCTTTGGGTCTATAGTCCATGGGTTCATGTCCCACTTGGATGCTCACTTCCTATGTGCCCAAGTCATTTCTCTCCCAGGGGTCCCAGTTTCCTCATCCGTTAAATGAGGGTATTAAAGTCATTGGGCTCTGAGGCCCCTGTGATCCTCTGAAGGGGGTGGTACAGTTTTGTGGTGTCTTTGCCCTAGGGGGGTGACTTTCCCTTCTCTCTGTGCCCAGTGTGGCTGTCCCTTCAAAGCAGAATTCCCAGAAGCCTTTAGCCCCAAAGGACTGCATGACCAGCCTTGGGCCTGGTTACAACTCCCCTTGGAGATCCTGAGATCAAAGCCAGGAATTCTTCTGTGGGCTTCAGTGTGGAGGCAGGAGGACACCAGGACCCAGAAAGGAAAGACCTGGAACCTCCTCTTCCACTTACTGGAAGTCTTCAGGGACTGTGTGGGAAGCAAGGTTTGGAAAAGATGATAAGACCCAGGCTTACTGATAATCTGCCCATGTCAAGGTTTTTCAGTGAGTATCTGGAATTCCCCATCTTTCTTCCAGGAGCCTGGAGGTGGTTTTAAGCCTAGCCTCCCCCTCTCACCTTGTAACCCAGGCTCCAGAAATTGCTTCTTCCTGCCCTTGGGAACTTTAGACAAAGCTCTGCTTCCTCTTCCCAGTTTATCCTTATCTGGCATCCTTCATCAGCCTTAAGAGCCATATCCCCTTATTCCCCCATCTCTCACCCTCCTGTCATCACAAGGGTAAGGCTGGGTCTTATGTGGGCAAGCTCAGCAAATACCCATGCTGGGGCACAGCCTCACTGCCCAGGCCCTCACAGGCAGCCACAGGGCTTGGGAGTCAAAGGTTCTGGGTCTGCTGGGTGACTTTGGGCAAGTCTCTCCCCTTCTCTGGGCCTCAGCTTCCCCATCTGTAAATGGACGGGGCCAGACTTGTCTGTCTCCGCAGCCCCTTGCAGCTCTGACATGCTTTGTCCTAGCTAAGGTTTTTCTCAACTCTGACATCTAAAAATCCTCTAATTCTTCAGGTCGAAGGGGCTTCAGAGGTCACCTAACTCAAACCCATCATTTCACAAATGAGGAACGCCAAGTCCAGGGAAAATGACAGCCCCTAAAAACTGCTACTATCTTAGGCTACATCAAGAGAGGCAGGGTGTCCAGAATAAAGGAGAAGACAGTCCTACTGGCCCTCTGCCCTTGGCAGATGAAGAAGGGGAAGGAGGAGGCATTGATATAGTACCTACTATGTGCTAGGCACAGTGTTGAGTGCTTTTTACAAATGGTATCTCATCTGATCCTCAAAACAACCTTGAGAAATCTGTGCTGTTATGATCTACATTATGTTGTGATCTCCATTTTACAGAGGAGGGAACTGAGGCAAACCAAGGTTAAATGACTTGCCCAGGGTCACACAGCTTCAAGCGTCTAAGGCTGAATTTGAACTCAGGTCTTCTTGACTTCAGGCCTGCCGCTCTATCTATTGCACCACCTAACTGTCTCTAAAAATTATTGCTTTCAGTTGTGGGTACCACATTTCAGGAATGATGTTGACAGGGCTTTACCTCTGTCTGCCTCAGTTTTATTATCTGTTAAATGGGGATCACAGGGCACCTGCCTCCTAGAGTTGTCATGAGACTCGATAATATTTGCAAATCGCTTTGTGACCCTTAAAGCACTCCATAATATTATTGTGTCCGCTTCTATAGAGTGTTAACTTCTTGGGAGGCAAGAACTGTTTAGATTTTTTCCATATCGTCAGCACGGTACCTGGAACGTAGCCAGCACTTACCGGACATTTGTCAATCGATTGACCCTGAGGTCCCTTTCAGGTCTGAGATTCTGTGAAGGGACCAACCCAGCCTCATTCAGGGAGTAAGGAGCTGAGCTTCACAACCAGGTCCTTAACTCCCCTGTCCCATTCTTTCTTCTGCCCTGCCTGTCTCTTCCAGCCCTGTGCTCCTCACAAAGGCTCCTCCCTCCCAGGTTCTATCCATCAGTTCCATCAGCATTGCTGGAGGGCGGCTTCCCTAGGTTACTCCCTTTGCTGCTGTCCCCTCTGCGGGGTAGGGCCCTCCATTTTCCTGCATCCCCCTCAAGCCGCCCTGCTCTTCTCTTCCCTTAGTCCTCCCTGAGTCTTTTTTGGTTCCAGTAAAGGCTAAACAGGAAGCCAAACAGAAGGTGAAGGTCAGGAGTGGAGACCCCAGGGGTAATGAAGAATAGACAGAAGGCCTGGGCACATCCCCGCAGAGCAGGCTGAGGGGCTGGGGCGCTTCCCAGGGAAGCTGGATCCTTAACCCCAGTCCCCTCTGTTTATTGTTGCTCCTAACACACCCACCTTATCTCTGGCTCAGGAGAAGACTGAGGATGGTGATTAATGGGTTACTTCCCTCCTCAATTTCCTAGTTATGTCAGATCTGAATCCCCAGTTCCAGGGCTCTGGCAACCAACTGCCCCCCCCCCCCCCCCCCCCCACGGCCCCGGGCCCCAAAAATTTGGGGCATTGCCAAGCCTGCTGTTGAAAAATTCCTCCATGAGATCATGTCCTACTAAAAGGATGTATTTGATCCTTATGACAACCCTGACCAGTGGGATGGGTAGCCAGGAAGTCCTCCACCTTCTCGATTGGGAGATTTAGTTCTAGGCAAGGTGGAATGACTTGTCTGAAGTCACGAAGGAGGTCTTGGTGTGGCTCAGTATGGCACAGCGATAGCTAAAAGAGCCCTGGCCCGGAAGTCAGGAGATGTCCCCTTGGACGAGTTACTTCTCTGGGCCTCAGCTCTGGGGTCCTTTGTACCATACCAAAATGTCTCCCATATCACCTCCTAGGATCATGGAATTTAAAACGGAAAGGAACCTCGGAGCATGTCTAGCCCAACCCCTCATTTTAGAATTGAGGGAAGAGGTACAGAGAGGGAAGTGACTTTGCCACAGTCACTCAGGTAAGAAAGTAGCTTACCTCAGGTGTCCACACATAGTCTCTAACTCCAAATTAAGGGCTCTTTACACCAGGCCCCATTGTCACCGTTCCTGGGAGAAAGGGGCAGGGATGCTTATCTTGCTCTGAGAGGCAAGAGCAATTGCTTGTGATTGGCCGATAGAGACAGGTACTGCGCTAAGTAATGGGAATATAAATACCAGCAAAAAGAAAGACAGTCCCTGCCCTCCAAGAGCTTGTATTCTAATGGGTGAAGATATAGGGGAAGGAAGGTAAAAATAAGAGTGGAAAAGTCTGGGGAGTCAGGGGCTGAGCCAGGACAGAAGTAAGCATGGCGTTGACAGGGGTACTTTCTCAAATGGAGGTTGTGGGGAGTAACTCACCAATAGGAGGAGAAATGAATGAAAAAATGAAAAATATTTTATTGCGAGCTTTCTATGCACCAAGCACTGTTCTAAGTACTAGGCAAAAGCAAGATAGTTCCTGCCCTCAGTAAGCTTACATTCTAATAGGAGGGAGATCACATGTAAAGGAGTGTAGTGGCTCTGGAAGCCCCAGAGCGTGAGAAGTCATAGGGCTGCAGAACGTTGCACTGTTTTCCAGAAGCATCAGTGGGTTTGATTTTATTCCTATTCCCAGAATTGGTGATGGAGAAGGGAGGGGTACTTTGGCAGGTCTGATGGCAGGATGTGTGGAGAGTAGCATGCTGGGGCCAGGAGCTGCTAGACAGAGTGGTTTCTCCCCAGTCAGAACAGCACCTCCCAGTTCCAAAGATGAATCTGGTCTGAGGTCATGTGAGGGCTTTTAGCAACATCAGGGCAGAAGGCGAGAAAAATGGCTTTGGTGAAGCAGGTCAGGACTGATTCCAATAGATTATAGTTGTCACTGAACCTCTTGTCCTCGATTTCCTCATCTGCAAAATGAGAGATTTGGCCTGAATGTCCTTTATTGATCCTTTCCATTCTCAAGTCGTAGGATCCATCGCTAAGTAGAACCTGCCTCTTGCCACCACCAGGTGGCTCCCTAACCTTGCTTCTCCCAACCCTGAAATTCAGGTTTTTATTTCATCTTTTCAGGACCAGGCTTTCTGTGTTTTCCAAGGTGATAAACATACTAATTGTCAAGGCCTAGGGGAGACTCCTAGCTAACACTGAGTGCTTGGGTCAGCTGGCCGAAGAAATCTGATTGAGAAATCAATTGTCCTCGTCTCAAACCGTCTACAGAGACCCAAATCCTCTTGTCTCATGTCTGACCTCACCCCTATTCCCACTGGGGTCCCACTCATGTCAGCGGACACCTATCTACTTCCCTCTAGAGCTCCCCTACTGGCAGATCGCTTCATGGCCCTGTGACCAGCATTGCTAATGCCTCTGCCTAACCCAGGACCAGCCTTCCCCAAGCTGAATGCCTTCCAATCTTCAAAACTCATCTCCTCCAGGAAGTTTTCCTTGGTTAACCACACCTGACTCCATTACCCCTTTGTCCTCAGTGCTTACTGATTAGCTGGCACTGAAATTTATGTAACTGTCTTGTCTCTTGCACTCTCTCCCCTAATAGATGCTCACCTCCTTAAGGCTGAGGACTAGCATGCCTTCCTTTGTCCAGGAACTACCCTTACCACCAACATCCAACAG